TGAGGGAAATATTCATATTTGTGCTGTCCAGTGTATTCACTTTTAGCCATCTGTGGCTGCTGAGCATTAAATGAGGTTAATGCCTCATTTTAATTTTAATTAATTTACTCCAAATTTAGATTTTAAATATTTCTATGTGGCTTGTGGTTCTTGTACTGATGGTCTCATTTTCAAGTTGAAAAATAAAAGCTGGGTAATGGGGAGGGGTAGAGCGATGGAGACTAAAAGTTGGTAACAAAATGCTGTGGGGTTGAGCATCACCGAATACCACTGAACAGAAGTGGCCTGAACTCCTATTCTATTACTCCTTGTGGAATAGCAAGAATAATCAAGATATAATCTCCTTTCTAAAGGAGATGACAAATCTTTGGCCGGGTTGGGGGGTGGGGGGCCGTGGTCAAGACTTATAATAAAGGAAGAAGGTGACAGTGGACTAAGGTAGGTCAGGGAAGTGACTGATCAACCTGGATTAGTGATACTCAGGAAGAGGCCTGTGGTTGAGCCTTCAGAGACTGAGAAGTAGAGACAGGAGGTGGAGCAGTGACAGAAACAGACCCCCCATGAAGCACATTGAGGGACAGGAGGTCCCAGTAGGATACAGAGACACCCATGGGAGTCAGGTCTTACGGAGAGTGACTGCTGTTAAAAAGGTTGACTCTGTCTGGTGGGCAATGGAAAATGAAAGAAATGGTGGTTTGAGAAACCGTGTGGGTGTATTTTCTGAGAACATTTCAAACAGAGGCCCCGGATTTGCCCTTAGGAGGCCTACAGGGACAACGTGAGCCAGGTGGACCACCTTGGATCTCCCCAACTGGTTCATGAAAACCAACATACTCATAAACTACTCACAGACATTCCATAAAGCATACTTTGCATACCTGGAGCAGAAGAGAATTATATTTACATATATCAATCCATTGAGTTACCCAATCACACAGATTTGATCACAGTTGAAAGGTACATTCAGACCACAAGCTGCATTTATGCCTTTTTTGCTGCTTAAGTCAACTACTAAAGCACAATTCCCAGGACTATTAACTTCAAACTTAAACACTCCCTGATCTCCGGGACAACTCTCTCACTAAGAGAGAAGCAAAACAGAAGTCACGTCCTTACCCTGAGTTAAGCTTGGCTTTATCAATCAGAGACCGAGGCTGGTACATATCAGCAAGTGCCTCTGGTAACGGGGGTGGCTGGCTGAATGCGAGGATGTTGCAGTTTTGTTCTGTTAAAGGGCTGTCAGTGAACCAAGTTATGGTGGAGGATGCCGGAGTTCCATTGACGGGGTCATAGGTAGGAGTCATGGTCTTACTGTATAAGCCAGGACTTCCTGCAAAGCAAGAGGAAGATGGATCTCATGAGAGATTCAGGTGGGAATTTTTAGAAAAAAAGAAGTACTCCCATTCCTTACACTAAAATGAAATTTGACTTTCAATGTTTATGTCATTTAGAATGATCAGAGGAGTTATGATGGTTAGGAGATCAGTTATATACAGACAAAGACCTTGTCTACTGTATATTCAGTTTCTGGGAACTCAAAGATATAAAAGTTTCCTCAAATAAAAAATGTTGGGGACCATTTTTCTAATTCAAAGCTCTCTTATTTCAACAGAAGCCTCGATGCTATTAGAGAACTGGGGACCTCACAGAGTGCAGGTACAACATATGTTTCAGGTACTCCTGAATCACATAGCAGTGCTTGGCCAGTTTTAAGAATTACGGCAAGTTAATTATCTGGCTCAAGTTTGCATAAGGTACACAGACCTCTTTTATTCTTTGCATTGCAATATATTGCACAAGAAAGCCCTCAATATTGCAAGCATGCTAGAAACTTGATTCTTTTGATATAAAAAGAAAATTATGATACCTCTCCAGAATTTTTACCTGGAGAAATTTCCCCTCATTCCCAATGAGAACTTGAATTCAGGAAAGAATTGCACTAAAATAGAATCAGGAAGAGAAAAGTATATCTGAGTAATCCAAAGTATCTCCTTTTTAAATATTCTTTTATCCCCGTATCCCCGGTTTATGGACATCTGTACCAAAATTTTCCATTCTCAGAAACACAAGATTTGCAATTACAACAATGAATTATTAAGCTTATCTGCTGAAAACAAAAAGGTCTGAAATAAAATTTTGTTATTTCCAAACTTAACTAGGTAGCTCTTCCTCATCTCATTGATCCTAAAATTTTATTCCTCCTCTGAGGGGAAGAGAGAGGCCTATTTTCCCTCTTTGGTTTTAAACTACATTCACAAATTAAAACAAATCTTACTTACCTGGTGACCCTGTTGGAGAACTCTCCAGGTTGAGAATATCTTCAATGATGGGCTCCTTATTATTTTTATCTTTCTTTTTCTTTTTCTTAAAAAAGTCACCAGAAGGCTTTAACAAGGAAAGTTCTTCTGATCTTCTAATATCTAAAATAAAACAATAAATAATAATTTTTTTTAAAAAGAAGAAAAATAAATAGGACAAAGAGCATTTCGAGACTCAGAGCCATTTTCTGCATTTAATACCATATCTCCAGAAATCCCTGGGAAGTAAACAGAACTAAGTTGAATCACTTTTAAAGACATAAAAGGGGAATAGTTGTCTTTAGACTCTCTAAACTGTGTGTGTCTGTGGGTCAATAGTGGAGGAAGACTCAGTCTAATACAATTTCTAGTTTGCTTTTTAATTTATTATGAAAATATTTCAAATACATTCAAAGCAAAGGAAATAGCATAATATCCTCCTCCCTACACTTCACTGCCAGCCTCAACCACTACTAACGTTGTACCATTGTTGTGATTTCCATTTGCCACCAACTTTTCCCTGCCTCCCTCTGTTTTTGTCTTAAAAAATAAAAAATCAAGGGCCCATCATCTCCTTTTTTCTTTGTGGACCCCAAACCCCTAAAACCTTTATCTCTTACACTGTCCAGCAGGTCTTTTCACACCCTGCCACCTCTTCTGGGCGCTGGCCATTTCACTGCTTCCAGAGCCTTTGTGTCTCTGCCTGAGGTCTTGCTCTGGAGGCCAGCAGGGCACGCAATGCTCTCCAAAATCATCCCTCAGTGGTGCACAAGCACATTGTCCCTAGGGTGGTAAGCCCTAAGGCTGCCGCTGAAGTGTCTGAGTTCCCCAGTGGCCCACAGCTGAGGTTTGATGGTTTGATATTTCCAATCTCACTTCCCCACCCACACCTGGTGTTTACTGATAACATCTGCTAAGAAACTGTTTATGCTTGACTTCTCTCCTGGGGGGGTCTGCTTCCATAGATCCCAGACTAAGATAAGCTCCCTTCCCTGCCATTCACCCAATATGTGCATTATTGCTGATCAGAATTGCCAATAACCATTACCACACTGAGTGGCTATAACACCAGGAACAAGCCAAGGGATGTGATGACCGAGGGTCCCTGGGCAGCATTCCTGGGTGTCAGTGCACTGGCTCCTGTTAGATTCTCTAGTTCAATCAGTCCACACACTGCTTAGTACCAAAGTGGATCCCAGCAGTGCAGCTTGATTCTCTCCCCAGTAGCCCGGGATGTCTGACTAACAGGTTGCAAAGCACACCTGCGGCCCCTCAGAATGCATGATTTATGCACAAGCCTAGAGATGAACCAAAAAGCCTGGCTAAAGGTGCAAGCATTAAACAAAAATCAATAGCAGCACCTCTATCTCCAAGTCCGTGATCTGTGTCCTCCCTCCACAGCCCCCGACTGACACACACGGGGCGGTCGGGGGTGGGGGGACCTCATACAACCTAAATGGATTTAGCTTCAGTTGATCAGATATAAAAAGACAATGAATGGAAATGTCAACTTCCTTCCTTGCCTCCTGGGTTTTACTGTACTGGGGCACTAAAACACGGAGCTACATCCCCATCCCTCTTTAAGATAGGGTCTTGCTAAGTTGCTGAGGCTGACTTCGAACTCAAGATCCTCCTGCCTGAGCCTTAGAGTCACAGGAATTACAGGTGTGTGCCACTGCACCTGGCTCATGAAGTGCTTTCTGCCCTCGTGCTATTGTACTGGCCCTCCCTGTGCAGCACTGGCATTCCCAATCCAACTCACCCTTCCCCTCTTTTCTCTACATTGTCGCCCCTTTTAAAACATCCTCTATTATTTTCTTATTACACTTATTGGCTATTATCTGCCTCTGCCTGCTAGGATGCAAGCACTTAGAGGGCAGGAAACCTAGCAATCTTTATCACTGATGTCTCCCCAGCGCTCAACACGTTGCCTGTCACATAGTAAGTGCTCAGTAAACATTTGTTGAATGATGCTGTTCACAGTTGAATGGAGGAGACAGATTCCTCAAGGATATATTATGTATTGGGTGTTCAAGAACCAATTTTTGGTCTTAGTATCAAACTTCTTTGATATGAACACCATCAAAAATAAATACTTCAAAAAAAATATAAAAGGAGAACACCTTCACAGACCCAGTTTTCCTCCTTTTATGGAATCTCAAAAAGAAGAAATGGGTTAAATAGTGTTGTCTCTATGAGTGTTTTACTTTGGGACACAGATCCATAAGGAATTAGGCTTCCATTCACAATTAGTGTACTTTTCTGCTTAAAATAAATCTCACTGGTAAATTGTGTGAACAGAGCTATTTGCCAGAGTCAGGTGTTAGTGAAGTAATGGAGACAGCAGCAGCAGCAGCAGAAGAAGTGAAGATACGTCAGCTCTTTCAGTGATGAAGGGTTTAACAGAAACTCTTTGGGGGGCGGTTTCTTTAATAATGATTTGAGCATAGTTTGAAGAAATGAATTTGCAGAGCAATCTTCGTGGTTTGTCTCTTCTATCTATGAAGGTCTTCTTTAGTTTTTGCTCCCTAGATTTAACTGATTTATTTATTTATCTTTTGCCCCTATTTTTTTTATTGGCGCATTCTTATTGTACATAATGGTGGAGTTTACTGTTACATATTTTCACATGCAAATGAGATGCAAACACATGCAAACATAACAACATAATTGGACCAATATCTCTCCCCAGTATTCCCCCTTTTTGTTTTCTCCTCCCTGACCTGATCCCTTACCTCTACTCTATTGATTGCCCTTTGAACTTCATGAGAGTCTCCCAACTCTTCTTTTCCTTTTTACTTTACAAATGTCTTAAAAAAAATTTTTTTTTAGTTGTAGATGCACACAATACCTTTATTTTATTTATTTATTTTTATATGGTGCTAAGGATTGAACCCAGTGCCTCAACACATGCCAGGTGAGCACTCTACCACTGAGCCACAACCCCAACCCTACAAATGTCTTTTTGAAACAGTTTTAAGCTGTATGGAAATGAATCTGATGTGGGTCAAGGATGTTCTATTTGGTTTAACTGCACTGCAATGGCTGCAGTATCTGGACTTTGCGGTGTACTTCCCAATAAAGCGGGTGTTTTCTTTCTTTCTTTCTTTCTTTCTTTCTTTCTTTCTTTCTTTCTTTCTTTCTTTCTTTCTTTCTTTTTTTTTAGAGAGAGAGACAGAGAGAGAGAATTTTAATATTTATTTTTTAGTTTTTGGCGGACACAACATCTTTGTTGGTATGTGGTGCTGAGGATAGAACCCAGGCCGCATGCATGCCAGGCGTGTGTGCTACCACTTGAGCCACATCCCCAGCCCCTAAAAGCGGGTGTTTTCTAATCAGCCATTCGGGGTACGCAGAAAGCAGCAAACACTAGCGTCTAAAGGGCACAGGGGCCCCTGGGGTACTCACTCAGGCTTTTGCAGATGTCACTGACAGCCTTAAACACCACAGCCGAGAAGCTGACTCGCAACCTCACCGTCTTCATGTTAGGCAGCCGAAGGCGCAGCATTTTGTGCTGGGGGGTGAAGAGAAGCTTGGCATCTGCCTGAACCCCACATTTGTCCAGGGTCCAGTGGGTTTTCAGAAGCCAGCAATGTTTCTGTTCCCACCAAAGAGCAAAGTCTGACCAGTCTTGAGCTATGTCTACAAAGATGGAAGACACAATTAGGCAAAATGAGGAGAAGTAGAAGGAGCTCTGGAGGGTTCAGGCTCCCCCGGAATCCATTTCACTGTGAGTAAAACCTGGAATAAACAACCCTCTTTGGCTCCCCATCTCTTTTTATAGCTCAAGGCTCAACAATCCTTGGCTTCTCTACAGTCACTAAGGCCTGGCAGGGAGAAAACAATGTATGAACCCTCCCGTCATTTACATTTAAGTAGCAGGAAGAGCAGAAGCAGGACATTTTCGTTCTTGACGAATGATGAAGTTATTTTTCCTAAAATCCCTCTGTGCCACTGTCCTTTCTGGAAGGCCAAAAGCATGTGCCTTTGTTTAATGCATCTTATTTCTCTCACAGAAATAGATCCTTATTCTGGGTGCAGCAGCGTATGCCTGTAATCCCAGCGGCTCGGTAGACTGAGCAGGAGGATTGCTAGTTCAAAGCCCAGTCTCAGCAATATAGTGAGGCCCTAAGCAAGTTACTGAGACCCTGCTTCAAAAATTAAAAAAAAAAGAAAAGAAACAAAAGGGCTGGGGATGTGGCTCAGAGGTTAAGCACCCCTGGGTTCAATTTGTGGTACCAAAAAAGAAAAAAAAAAACAAAAACAAAACAAAACAGGAAATGGATCCTTACACTCCTTGGATCACAAGGGAATATCAACAGCCCCCAAAGTCCACACAGAAGTGCAGTAAAGCTGACATTTCCCTCTCTCAATAATGGCCCAGTCTTCTAGTAGCACCACAGTCCGATTTTCAAAACATCTACACCAAAATCAGAGTTGCATGTTTTCTCCCTCTCAACGTTAGCACTGATATTGAATCTTTCCTCTCCTTCAACACTGGCTTAAAGATGAATTCCTTCGTCAACCTTGTAGTCAATATTCAACCATTCTTTTGGCTAAATACAGGTTGCTAGTGTTTTTGTATGGATATGAAGTGTCTCCATAGATTTTATGCTGAAGGCTTGGACCCCACCGTAGCAGTGTTTAGAGGTGGGGATTTGGGCAAGTGATTGGATCCTGGGAGCTCTGATCTCATCAATGGATTAATCTATTGAAGGTTTCACAGCTGATTCTAGGTTGAGAACGTGGGTCACTGGGGCCAGGTCTGGGAAGGAGATAACTAGTCCTTATCCCCTTCCTTGAGCAAGTGTTTTTTCATTCTCTCTCTTTCTCTCTCCCTGTCTCTCTCTCTCTCTCTTTCCTTGAGACCTGAGGCAGATTCATACAATGAAATATTATATAGCAGAAAAAATTTTATATAGCAGGAAAATGAAATAACATGAGTGAATATCTCAGACACAATGTTGGGTGAAAGATGTGTAAGAGTATATCCTGTATCATTACATTTATATGAAGTTCAAAAACAAGCAAACTTGTTCCTGTGATGTTAGAGGCCAGGATAGTAGTTACCCTTAGTAGACTAACAACTAGGAGAAATCAGATTTGAGGCATGGGTCAGGGAACAGATTAGGAAACAGGTCATGGTCTATTAATCTGGGTGATTAGTTACATGACTGAAAATTCATTGAATCATATCCTTATGATAAATGTACTTTTCCACATTTCAATTTCCTTAAAAAGGCTTTATCTCATTAGCATAAATAGGGAAGCTATTACCAAAGTCTTTTCATAAACAAAGGAAATAGAATGTCATCAAATTTTAGGCCTTATAATGTTGACATGGTGATTTCCTGATGTGAAGACTCTGACCCAAGAGACTTCGCTTTCTCTGTTTGAACAAATACAGTAGCAGATGATAGATAAATGTTTTTATAGTTTGAGTCTGAAATGTCCCCCAAAAGCTCACATGTTGAAGGTCTGTCCCCAGCTGGTGACAGTACTGGGAGGTGGTGGAAAATTTAGAAGGTGGTCTAGTTGTAGGAAGCAGATCACTGGGGGTATGCCTTTGAAGGGTTTATTTTTCCTGCTTTTTCTCCCTCCTCCCCCACACACACTTCCTAGCCACCACGAGGTAACCTCTACCACATGCTCCTGCCATAATGTTTGGACTTACCCCAGACCCAAAGTAATGGAGCCAACCGGCTGTGGACTAAAACATCTGAAATCACAAGCCAAAATAAACCTTGCCTTTTTAAAGTTGATTGCCTCAGGTATTTTGTCACGGTGACAGAAGGCTGATTAACACAGTGTTAAAGGACACATAGGCACCAAATGCACTTTATCATTGATCAATCAAGTATTAACAGAGAACTGATACAGTGGTTTAATGCCATGTCACCTAAAATCATCTTAGACATCACTGGTGGCAAGGACTTTGTCCATATGGAAGTACAGCACTCTACCTATTTGGGAACATGAGTTTGTCACCAAAGACTCAAGTTTTCGCAAAGGTGGTAGATTTTGTTTGAGGTTCCTGCAGGACCCATTATTTCTCTGTGTCCTGGAAGAGATTGGGGAACAAGGAAGAGGGCTGTGCTCTACAGGCAACTGTGAGATGAATGACCAGAAGAAATTACATGATCCGGCAACCTAGACCGACTATGCAGCAGTGATGTAGCAAAGAGCATTTCTACTACACAGAAACCATGGAGAAAGAGGAACTTACTGATCTTTTCTACCAACTTGAGCATCACACCCCCGACATGCAGGTCTCCGGACACTCTCAGTGTGATGTCTCTTGGCTCCTTTTCATTTGGATTGTGAACTTGGACCATGAGCTCCCAGGATGCAGATGCAAAGTCACTGGATGAGATCATAGTGGCACAGGCAGGTGTCTGTTGAATAAAAATGAGGACATAGATCAGAACAGGTGAGAAGGGAACTGGAAAGGGCTAGTAGATCCTGCAGAACAAAACACTTTTTTGTTTCTGTATTTGATTTTTGCCTGGTCTTCAAAAGATTCCACAGCGTTCCTGGTGTCCAGACATTAAATTCAGCATCTTAATAGTAGAGACAAAATGTCTTATAAAAATGGACCTAAATCACCTAAATTTATATATTTTATCTTTCTCTCTACATCCACACCTCCAGGACCCCTTGGCTATGTTTTGTTGTTTGCCCATTTAATACATCAATTTTTACTTTCCTTCTCTATTGAGTTTTCTCGGCTTTCTCTGAACTATTCCAACAAAAGTCAATTCTCCATGGTATATTTTTTTAAAAAAATCAACATTATTGAGGTACAATTCACCTAAAACAAAACACGCAGATTTTAAATGACATACAGTTTGATGTATTTTGTTGCAAGCAAATTGTACTTCAACAAAGTTGACTTTAAAAAGATTCCATTAAAACTTTTTTCTATCTTTAATAAATTTGTATTACCACATTCCTCCCCCAAATATCTGCATCTTCTGGCATGAAAGCTCAAATAAAAATAAATAAAAACACAGCAAAATTATTTCTATGTCAGCCATATTCTACTTTAAACACATATAAGTAAAGATATAGGCCATTAATAATCAGTGCCATGTATTTGATTTACTTAAGTTACTGTATTAGATCATATAGAAGTTGATATGTAAATGCACTTTTGACCAAATAATTTTAAAACAGGGTGAGACACAAAAAAAGCTTACTCTTCAAATGGGGGTGGGAACTTCAAACCTCTTAGCTCAAAGGAAGAAACTAAGCAGTATCAACACTAAAATGTATCAGGGGTTATAGGAACATTCGAATCCAAAACTGGCAGGACTAAAACTTGAGATGTCAGTGTCTTTTAAATAGTAAGAAATGATACTACAAATCCTGGTTGTTTTAAGATCATTTAAATCATTATGAGAAATCCATGTTTTCATAAGGCCTACACTGAGAAAAACCAGTGCACTCGTATTTCCACATCAGGGTTTCTTTTCTAACTGTAGGCACACAGATCCCTTGGGGATCTTATTAAAATGTAGATTCCGGGCTGGGGATGTGGCTCAAGCGGTAGTGCGCTCCCCTGGCATGCGTGCGGCCTGGGTTCGGTCCTCAGCACCACATACCAACAAAGATGTTGTGTCCGCTGAAGACTGAAAAATAAATATTAAAGAATTCCCTCTCTTCTCTTCTCTCTCTCTCTCTGTCTTTAAAAAATAAAATAAAATAAAATGCAGATTCCATTCAGCTGATCTGGAGTAGGGCCCTGGGCCTCTGCATTTCTAACAGCTCCAGTGATGCTTTGTAAGGATTCTGGCTGTGGAAATGTATAAGGCAGTGTTCCTCTAGTGAGCAAACTCCTAGAAGGTTACAGGCACTCTGTTTCCACACTTAGAATGTTTCTCCCTGGAACTAGTAAGATGACCAATACATGCTCAGTGCCTAGCTGCTATGGTAATGTCCTTCTGAGGAGGCTCTGTGCTGCATATACAGTCTTATCACTTATCAGCTTTGACCCTGGGTTTTTTTTTTTTTTTTGCTTTTAAAGTTTTTATTTATTTATTTTTTAGTTGTAGATGGACACAATACATTTATTTATTTATTTATTTTTATATGGTGCTGAGGACCGAACCCAGTGCCTCACACATGCCAGGCAAGCGCTGTACCCCTGAGCTATAACCTAGCCCCAGGAACACTGTTTTATAACAAATCAAATTGAACCTATCCACGTCATACTACTTTTGAGTTTATATGAAACTCCACATTTGTTAGCGCCAGGAGAATCTAGTTAAATAGAACAGCTCTGCAAACCTGAACAGGCTTAGAACAGATTTAGTATGTCTGAATCAATCAAGAGTTCAGAGTATTTCTGAATGCTTTATAACAAGAGGATTCAAAGGCGGCGATACATAGATACATATACCTTTCAATGCAGAGGTACACAGGGCAACCTCTTGCATAAGCAATGCCCTGAAGAGATTATATGAGGCCTCACTGTTGGCTTCTGTCATCATTAGTTTGCAGTATTATTTTCTGGGTAATGCATTGTTCATTAACTATTGTCCTTGAGTTACCACCTCCTTCACCCTCTGGGCAATTCCCATTTCTAAATGAGGAAACTCAGGCTCAAAGAAGTTAGGCTACTTGTCTGAAGTAACACAGGTTAGATAGTGGAGCCCAGACATTAATCCACATCTTTCTTACTCCTACTTGCCTACCACACTCGGAAATGTCCTGGGTAATTAATAGGAAAGATAATGCTTAAAACCACAGAGTGAAACTTTTCACAGCCTTTACCATGTATTTCTACCAACACAAATCTTTACCCAGTGGAGAGACAATAAAGACAGCCCCTTCATAGGTGATCTCACAACTTGGCATTGAAATGCTTGACTGCAAGAGCCTTATAATTTCTAAATTACTATGCTCTGAGCTTTCATTTTAAAATGTTTTGTACATAAAGAAAATGACCTTTCTTTTAAGGTGACTCCTTGTACATAAAGAAAATGACCTTTCTTTTAAGGTGACTCCTTGCCGCTGTTCCACGGACAATCAGACACCAGGTCTTTTCCTGACCTTGTTGATTAAAACACCCCTTGTATAGGCAATAGATGGTGATTTCCTTACAACGAAGTCCCGCCTGGTTCTAACCTGTTTCCCCCACATTCCTTTCCTATCGTTCTGAGCCTTGTGTTTTTGAATGAACTTCTCATCTGCAGCAAGTTGTTACTTGTTGAGAACAGCAAACTTTAGCTGGGGAAAACATATCTTAGGAGACCCAAACAAGAAACAAAACGCAACGGGAGACGTGCCTTTCCTGGTGAAGTTCAGCGGCCCTTCACAGAAAATGCCAGAGAGAAATCCAGGAAAAAGGGTAGGTAGTGGGAGATAAGCCCCACGCTTTCCCTGGAGGATCAGGTGGTGCTCAGTGTCTGAAGGCCATTTGCTCTGTTTGTCGCTAGCACTGCGGGGTCCTGGGGTGGGTGCCTGGTGGGCAGAAACCTGCCCCTTACCCATTAATGCTGCAGTACCTGGGACTGGACATAAAGTTTTTGCGCAGCCAGAAGCACAGGCCAAAGAAAGTGGTCGCACCCCAACGACATTATTTTCAATTCAACAGCCGTTTAACTGAAGAGGGCTGCACCAGTGAAGGGGACAGCGGTCTCAAGACTCAGCAGCACGCATCAAAGCCTCCAGAACCCCTGTCCCCAGTTCTAAGCCCTGAGCACCCACCTTCTTTCCCGGAGCCTGTTGCGTCCAGTGTTGCAGATCCACACGTGAAAAGGTGCACCCCTAGAGACCAGGGCAGATACCACCCCAGGCGGGGCTGGGGACGGCGCTAGCGAGGTGGAACTTGCGGGGACAAGCAGTCGCAGCGGCAGTTCGGCTCGGATGTGGCAGGCAGGGGGAGGTGGCTTGGGTGCAATGGCGAAGCTGCTCGGGGACCTCCCGCAGAGGCTCGGCGTCTGCGGGCAGCCCAGCACCGCGCACCAGGTGCACCTTCTTGGTACGCGGCCCCCAGCTACACCGCCAAGGCCAGCGCAGCGGGGCAGGCGAGAGCACGCCCA